GTATTGTGCCTCAGAAAGACTGACTAAATGCAACCTCAAATATTGATTCTATTTTCAGTGGAATATTAGATTTTTAAATATTCAATAATTAAGATGTATCATTATTTCAAATCTGTTTTTCTAAAACTGAAAAGCAACCCTTTATGGTAAAGTTATATGATCAGATTTCATTCTAATGCACAATGCTCTGATGGTACAAACAGAGAAAAATTAGTTTTTTACACATTGTGAAACTTCTCTTCAGAATTTTGATTTAAACAATTATGCACAATAATATTTAAATGTAAAAGCAAGCCAACTTTTATAGGAGTTTATTGACAATACTGATAAAAATCACTATCCACATATCTACTATCCATGAAGTCCTAGGCCATATCTTCACTTTCCACGCTGGCTATCAATCTCCTCGTATTCGATATAGCAGGTCTAGTTAAGAGCCGCTAAACCAAAATAACTTTGGTGCCCAGTTGGTGCCGGTACTCCTCGCAGTCACGAGGAGTAAGGAAAGCTGACAGGAGCATCCAGTCAGTCTCCCTATATGAAGACAGTGCCAACCTCAGCTTAAGATATGTAACTGGAGTTGATTTATTTTACATAGCTGTAGTTGCATACCTTTCTTAAGCCAACCTTCCAGATCTAGAGTAGACCTGGCCCTCGTCTTCCTTCAGAATCATTACAGTTGTCCTTGCCAGCAGATCTCAATGCAGGGTAGAACTCTGGCATGCCTGTCTAAAGCTATGAACTGGTATATAAAGATAGGCATCAACCAACAATTTTGTGTTTTTTAGGCTTCTTAATTGACTGAAAACTCCACAAACGATTTAAGTAACTTTCTACAGACTACATCTAAAACCCATGCATTGAAATCCAAGTTACATGAGATGGTTGAATGTACTTGTTACCACTTCATTTTTTTTTTTTTTTTGTTTGCAGTGGTTGAAAGTACATACATAGTTTAAAATAGACTAGGTATTCAAGCACTGAAAAATTATTCAAAAATACAGTTAAGGCATTACTGTTTCTTACAGGGACACCAGTAATACATAAAAAGTTACATTTGCCCCTTTCCACCTGCCCCATTATTTTCATGAAGTATTTTAACACTATTCAGACAAGTAGAAATAAATATTGTAGAAGAAACCAAAGGCAGACGAAAATATGACGTTTTTTTAAATGACCGGATACAGTTCTGAAGGCATTCCTTCCTACAGCCATTCCAAGGATATACCAAAAATCTGTTACAAATGGTGAATTACATGCGACATAAGACATTTAGCAGTTCAATCTGTGTAATGTTTAAAAAATGGTGCAGTCATTTTAAATTATTCATGCAGAAAAACTGATTTTATCGTATGACAGTTGTTAAGTGATAGTTTATGATGTTCTGATCATGTAATGTAAAAACATCAGTGGCATTAATCTTCAGATGTGACCATTACCCATACATACACAATTCCACCCCAACTCCAAAAGACCATCTAAATACCCTTGTTAAAAAGAAGTTTGTTTGAAAAATATGTAACTTTAGTTCTTTTAAAACTAACATGACATCCTTTTTATATTAAAAAGGCAATGAAAGTCAATGAAAAGTATCAATGCTGATACTTAAATTGCATAATCATACACCTCATTCTGTGCTACATTTAAAATCTAGTCTCTCTCAAAGTTACGAACAGTCTTTAACCACAAATTCAGCACATCTAGGGATGTAAAAAGTCGTTTAAATATGTAACCATGTAACCGCTAAAAATCCTAGCAGTTAAATGTGCTGTGGGCTCTGCAATATTAAAGCTTATATATCAATTTTATACAGCAGACCCCACAGAGGGAAGTTTCGCTGTCAGTTCCACAACCAGCTCCGCAGGAGGCTGCTGGCCCTGTTGTCAGGGAGCCCGTGTGTAACCTGCAGCTGGAGGGCAGGCCTGCCACAGACAACAGCTGCTCTGGCAAGCCAGAATACCCTTGGCCTGAGGTGGGCCCTGCGGGGCACCCAGGGTAGGGAGCTGCACCAGCTCCTACCTATTAACCAGAATCAGTAAGCCATACCCATTAAGGGTGAGGGTTACCAGTTAACCATTTACATCCTGAAGATTAACCAAGGTTAGTCTGCAGATTTAACTTAATTCCTAATTCATGTAAAGGAGAAAACAGTATAACTTTTGAGGCATTAGACAAAACTAACTACCCATTAACAACTTTGTCAAAGGTCTCCCTGTGCAGGATTCACAAAAAGTTATAAAACCCAAATGCTCACCAATACTTTCAATTAGGGCTTATTTAATACATAGAGCCTTCTTCCATTGTTCAAAATAGTCTACAGAAAATATAGAATCTTATGGGAAAATATTTCATATTACTTTGATATTATTTCATTTAATCTGAACTATTGCTAAAACCAATCTTTCTATGAGCTTAAATAGCCAATTTCTAGTTTAATTTGTTATGTCCTCCAAGGTAAATCTAAAAAGGAAAGAGTTCATAGAACTATTTATTAAGTCAGAAAAGAAAATACATTTTGTAACTATACCTAATGTATTCTTCAAAACTCTGAGCTTGATGAGTAAAATCACTAACTAAATTACAAGATTCTTCTTGGCAAGTAAAAAATAGATAGATATATGTGCAGATGAATAGTTAAAATGAAATTCTGCTAAAATGAAATTCTGCTTTGTTACAGTATGCCATTATGACAAAGTATTTTACAAACAAACCCTAGAACTGGGAAGTATGAAATTAGGTTTCTTGCTATTGGTTTTCCGTGTTTACCAGCATTATAGAAGAAATCAGTAAGTACATCATTTAGTGTAGCAAATAAACTAAAGTCTGTAAGCTATATTTCAGAGCAGATATCAATCTTGCAGGTTTTATAATACTAACTTGAAAATGCAGGTATGTATTACTATACACATCACAGAAAAACAAAAAAGTTTAAAGAACTAAAATGAAATTCTGAAATAGCAACCCATTAATTGATCAATATGTTCCCAATGAAAGAAAAAATATTTACTAAAACCGAAATATTTTACTAAGCAGCAGGTAATTAAAAAAAAGCTAAATGGTCACTTCATGGGATCACACATTTAAGTCTTCAAATATTTAGTTTGAGTCCCAAATCAATGTAACAGTAGATATTCTGTACTACAGGCACTTTTCTCTCTCCATACAGAAATCCAGTACCTGTGATGCAATTCTGCTCACAGTCAGAAGAGCAATAAGCTGATCTTAACCCTACTGTAAAACCATTCTAAATCAGAACCTCCTTCTGAAAATGAATACCATATTCATTACTTAAGCACTAAAACTACTTCATAAATAACAAATTCTACATTTAGTTAATAGTATCTGTGACAAGTAACAGAACTTAATTCTGATAGTTTAATCTGTTACAATACAATCTTATATACCATTAACTTTGCAGCACATATTCAAAGCCAGACATCTGTCTGCTGTTGCTGCTATAGTACATCTGTTCAAAGGCTATGCAGTTCCTTTTAATGCTCCATGGTTTGACTTGCTAATCCTAATGCAGCTAGATTACATGTCCCCGAACACTACATTTCTCAAGAGTTCCCAAAACATATCGGACAGCAGAAAAAAAGGAACCTCATCCACTATTTTTGTTTGTGAAATGTCCTAATCCATGGGTAAGTCAATGCACACAAAGTCTACCAGTGTAAAATATGGTTGAGTGAAGAAACTGGTGTTCTTTAAAGAGACGCAATTTTTAAATTAATAGTTATTTTCTTACATTCTTGTCATTTATATACAACGTATGTTTTAGTTAAAAACTGGAAAAGTATGCTTCATTCACTGCACAACACATATTTTGTATCTATTTATGCAAAGAACAAGAAAATAGCAGATAAGTCACATGCCCACTAAAATTATGTTTCCAATTCGAAATGCTGAATTACTAATTGAAAAAGGCATCACTATTTGCAGTACAGTAGAATGATTACATTTTATATTTGAGCTAAAAATCAAACATCAAGGTAAGAGGCTCTATTTTAAATGGCATTATGCTGAACATGAGCAATGACATCACTGTATCTAGTACATGACACCTAAAGCAAAAGTGTCAATACAGGTCCTACTAGAATGCTTTGATTTCAAACGAGTACTACTGTTAATCTTTGCAATCACCATTTACTACAGATAATACTCAATCTGCATGACATCATAATTACTGACCAAATAACTATTCAACCTCTATTCTGAACTACATAATAGAATCTAAAACAACAACTATCAAGCAGGTAATGTTCATACCCCAATCTACATCAATCAACTGGAAGACAGACAACAACCGACCTAGGATGTTGCTTTTTCTACAACATAATGCTTTAGTTTCATGAAACAAAGCAATATGGTTGCTAAAAACTGACCAACTTCCAATTACAGTAACTGCAGAAACCTAGCCGCACATCTGACTTTTTAAATCTGATAGTGCTCAAAATAATTATGCCGAACACAAATACACAAAAAACACGAGCAGGCACACTACATAATTACTGTAAGAATCTGATGCAATTGCTGTACGTGCAGCATTCATTTCCATTTTAATCTCATCTCTATCCCGGGTGCTGGGCCTAGGCCGAGCGCTCAGCCTGCCCAACTGGGCTCTGGCTGCACTGGAGAGAACAGCAAATTCAGTCAGGAATATGGCAGCCCTGGAGAAGAGCGGGGGGGGAAACAGACACACATCCCTGCTCAGCATTAACACTACAGGATTGCTGTACGTGCAGCATTCATTTCCATTTTAATCTCATCTCTATCCCGGGTGCTGGGCCTAGGCCGAGCGCTCAGCCTGCCCAACTGGGCTCTGGCTGCACTGGAGAGAACAGCAAATTCAGTCAGGAATATGGCAGCCCTGGAGAAGAGCGGGGGGGGAAACAGACACACATCCCTGCTCAGCATTAACACTACAGGTCGCTGGGGAGATGATCAAGGCACCCAGAGAAACGGCGAGCCAAACGCTAGCGCGGGCCGGGCGAGGATACAGGTTAGATCTAAGTCGAAGCCATCCTCCTGATATCTCCTTTTGTTCCTGC